CACAACTAAGGGTACGGTTCCCGTGGCGTAGTTGTGATATATAATTCCTAAATTCGGGTGCACATTTTATGTGACTTGACCACAACTTTGAATAATAATAAAATTAAACATGTTGTAGATCGTGGGTACGATTCCCGTGACATGATTCGCAATGTATAATCAAATAATTAGTTGTATAACAATCGGATTACTAAAAAGCGATTTAAAAGGAATAAAAATGCACATAAGTTTTTAAATATGTAACTAATCAGATAATTAGGCTAATTTTAATAGTTTAAGTGACTGTGCTCAAACCACAGAATCCGGGAATGCCTAACACCTTCTCCCGGGTTAATAGAATTCCTTATCTAGAATTTCTTGTTCGCAGACTTTGAATAAAGTCAAATTTCCTCGAATTGGGATTTTTTAAAAATAATTCGGTGACTTGGGACACCAATAATTATTCCAAGTGGTGACTCTGAATCTTAAATAAATAATCCCATTTCGGTTATTGTTATTTTAATTGGAAAAACTCCCTTATATACCTTTTCGGGGTAGAAAAAGGAGGTGTGACAAGTAGGAATTATGTCACGACCCTAACCCCGAACCCGGTCGTGATGGTGTCTCTCGTGAAGGCAAGGTCAGCCAATTAAACCCAATTCACTTTTTAAAAAGTTAAACAACATAAAAACAGTCTAAAATATGATTTAACGATACTAAGTAGCGAATAATAGCAAGTAAGTGCGGAAGTACAACCCGACACAGCCCTAACCGGGGTGTCACAAGTCACGAGCATCTAACAACACTAAGTTCTCAAATGTAACTACAGAGTTTAAATACTGAACTAAGGACATAAAGGAAAGAGATAGGGAGGAGCTCCGGGCTGCGAATGTCAACAACTACCTAAAGACTCCTCGAGATGCGCCTGAAGCTGGAATGAATCAGCATTTGGAGGCGGGACCAGCTACGCCTGAATCTGCACACAGGGTGCAAGAAGTAAAGTGAGTACTCCAATTCAGTGAGTAATAAATGTAAATAATGACTGAAAGTAAGAAAGCACGTAAGGCACAAGGCATTCTATAATGAAGTAGTAAAATCATTTAAAAGCAATAAACCAGTGAAAGTTAAGTAAAATCCTTTTTCAACAAGTAAACGGGTAATTGATGAGCAGTTAAGGTAAAGTAAACAAATAGAAGTTAGCCCCTCGAGACTGTATCAACAAATCTGCCCCTCAGGCAACATCTCAGAATAGTACTAGCCCTTCGGGCTCAATCTCACATCACAATGGGTACCCGCGCTCACTGGGGGTGTACAGACTCCTGGAGGACCCCCTTACGACCCAAGCACAATATCAAGACACCTCGTGGCATCATCACTAGGCCCTCGGCCTCATATCAATCAAGCCACCTCATGGCGTATATATCTCGGGCCCTCTACCTCATAATCAGTATCAAATATTTCCTCACAATATAGGCCTTCGGCCTTACTTAGTCAAAAATCCTCACAAGCCACTCGGGTAACAGTAAAAACAGTGTTTCTCAGCCCAAACATCATTTAAAATATCATTTAAGTAACAAAACTGAGTAAACATCACTGAGTATGAAAACAGTGGGAAAATAGCATGACTGAGTTCAAATATAAAGTCAAACAGTGAGGAAATATCAGTAAAAAGCCCCGAAGGGTACAAACAGTTGGCACGAAGCCCAAATATGACATTCAACCCAAATAATGATGATAGCAAATAGTTTTCAATCAAATACGTGGTAAATCATCAATCGGTACAGACCAAGTCATAATCCCCAATAGTGCACGACCCCACGCTCGTCATCGAGCGTGTGCCTCACCTCAATATAGTACTACGATGTGCAATTCGGGGTTTCAAACCCTCAGAACATCATTTACAATCATTACTCGCCTTGAACCGGCTAAATCTCTAGCTCGCGACGCCTTTGCCCCTCGAATCGGCCTCCACTCACGTCGAATCTATCCAAAAATCAGAACGAGGACGTCAAAATATACTAAGGGAACGAAGCCCAAGCGAAAATAATCAATAAATGGCACAAATTCTGAAATTACTAAAACCCGACCCCCGGGCCCACGTCTCAAATTTCAGAAATTTTTTTACACCAATAGATTTCTTATCTTCCCACGAGTTCATACATATCAAAAGTTCTCAAATCCGACCCCAAATAATTCTCCAAATCCCCAATCAAAAGTCCAAATTTTCAAGCCCTAGTTCTTCAATTTTTAGCTTAATCTCCATGATTTTCTAGGTGGAATTCACATAATAATCGAGTTTTAAGTCCGAGAATCTTACCTCTCAACGATTCCCCTTGAATCCCTCTTCAATCTCCTTCAAAAATCTCCCAAAATGACCAACTATGGAGGAAATAAGCCCCAAAATTGCGGACAAGACGATTTTAAAAACCTTCTGCCCAGGCTCAATTTCCTTCTTCGTGAACGCGGTCAAAGCCTCGCGTTCGCGAAGCACAAAAATTTGGCTGACAAAAACTCTCCTTCGCGAACGCGACCCTACCATCACAAACGCGATGCTTCAGTCTCTCAAACCTACGTGAACGCGACAATGCCTCTCGCGAACGCGATGCATACTAACCCGGCTGACCCAATTCTTCTACGCGAACGCGAAGCCCTTCTCGCGAATGTGATGCTTCAGGCCTCCGCGAACGTGAAGCCCTTCTCGCGAATGCAAAGGCCAACATTCCACTGACTCTTCGCGACGCGAGGGTCCGCTCGCGAACGCGAAGAGTAAAAACCTGCAACTTCTGCAATTTTCTTAACTCCAAAATGATCCGTTCAACCCCTCGAAACTCACCCGAGGCCCACCAACATATTCTAAAACCTTATTCAAACTTGTTCCAATCATCAAAACACCTCAAACAACATCAAATTACCCAAAACACATCGGATTCAAGCCAAACTTTCTAAAATCTTCCGAATTCCGCTTTTGATCAAGAATCCAATCAAACCACGTCCGAATGACCTGAAAATTTGCACACACATCCCAAATGACCTAACGAAGCTACTGCAACTCTCAGAATTCCATTCCGACCCCTATATTAAAATCTCACCTACCAACCGAAAATCGTCAAAATATCTTCGCCAATTCAAGTCTAAATCTACTCCGAACCTCCAAAACTCATTCTGATCACGCTCCTAAGTCATAAATCACCTCCCGAAGCTAACCAAACCATCGGAACTCACATCCGAGCCCTCTAACACATAAGTCAACATCCGGTTGACTTTTCCAACTTAAACTCACTCTAAAGAGACTAAGTGTCTCAAACATTGTCAAATCCTTTCCGAATTCGATACGACCAACCCGATACCACAAAACATGGATAACGAAATATAAAGAAGCAGAAATAGGGGAAATGAAGCGGTAACTCATGAGACGACTGGCCGGTCGTAACAAATTACAAATGAAATACTTTAACAAGGGTGCAGCACAACTAAGGACATATAACGACTCGATGCAGGAAACTAGTCATTCGTTATGTTGTTATTTGTTCTTGATGCCCTTGGAAGTCACTTGCGAGATCAACACACACTTGATAGAATGCTTGATGAATTCTAGGATGTGCAAGTGTGATGTTTTTCCTTTGCTTCATATAAATATTACATAAGTGACATTACTTAAATGATGCAAGCATGTTTGGTACAAGGACATTCCCCATAAAGTGATTGATGCACTGTTTGCACTGTTGCGTGTGTGCAGAGAAACAGTGGCAGCGACTTTATAGCTGTGAGGGTTGAGTGGTACATTCAGCAAGGGTAATGATGCTCATCTATTCCCTCTGTTGTTTCTTTGACTTTGATTGTTGACTCTGAGAAGTTCTTTCTAGAAAAAAAATCGCCGGAAAAAAAAAACAAAAAAAGTTTAAATGCACACACACTATCTGAAGAAAAAAGTAGGGAACGCATTAACCATTTTAATTTTCTTTCATCTACTTAGAATGTGTTTGCAGACTTGTTTAATTTCATTTGTGTATTATAATTTATGGACGGATAAACCCTTGTTGGCTCCATGTTGACACTAACCAAAGAACAGACAAGAGATGAAAAGAAAGGGAAAAAGTAATGGTGTTGATCAACATATATCCATTAAGTTTGTACAATTGGAAGAATTATACCCACTAGTCCTCTATTCTTTTATGTGATAAAAAATGGAAGAAAAAAAAACCAGTTACTGGTATACATTTTTCAGAAAAAGTAACTTCCCTTTTCGCTAACTAGATTCTTCTACTATGACATTGCAACAAGAGAACAAGCCGCCAAAGAAAAACAATGAAAAATGGAAACTATAAAAGTTTTTCAAATGGATAAATAAATCAATTATAAAAAATAAAATAAACTAGTTGTTAGGACTTCCCGAGTCCAAGTAACCCAACCCATACAGCAAGCGAAGCATTTCAATATTCTCTTAAAGTTAAAGGCAAGCAAAAAGCAAGAAGAATCTCAAAGTCCGATCAGTCTTTGGCGCTCTCCAGTCCTCTTTATATATTCTTCGTTTTTCGCAACTTAATTTGTAACGGTCTCAACGAATCCTCTCGCTTCCTTTACCTTTCTCTCTCTATAAAACTGTTTCTTTTTGCGAATTAACCACTGCGCTAACCCTAGCGATTGAAAATAGTTATGGCTGAAACTATAGCTAATGGCCGGGCTGATCAGTGTGCCAATAATATTGACGGACCCACCAATCCTATGGTCACTCCTATTTTAACAGATCTCTATCAGTTTACTATGGCCTATGCTTATTGGAAAGCTGGGAAACACAATGAACGAGCCGTGTAAGTATTCATTTTCTCTCTATGTTTCGCTAAATTTATTTCTTTTATGTAATTATTTCTGGTCGCTATTGTTATTAATCAACAATTTCTAGTAACATTTTAGCCGTGTGGCAAAGCATTTTGTTTGCTGAGCTGGCGGATTACGCCGATTATTTATGNATATATCTTGATTGTCAGTGCTTGATCATAAGCATATTTAAATGGATTATGTAGGATGGCTTCTTTGAGTACCTGAGGGAACTTGACTGTTCAGATATTGAGATATATGCTGTTACTGAAGGATCAGTAGTCTTTCCGAAGGTACCGCTGATGAGGATTGAAGGGCCAATTGCTGTGAGTTCCATTAACACTATCCTTTATTAGCACTGGTTTTTTAAGCTTCTCAACAAGGATGCTATTGCATCTTCTCAGTTTTATGTTCATTTTTAATATGCTTGATGATTACTTATGTCTCAAAGGTGGTTCAACTGTTGGAAACTCCATTTGTAAACCTCATAAACTATGCATCACTAGTTACTACTAATGCTGCAAGACACCGTTTCGTAGCTGGAAGGTCCAAGATACTGCTTGAATTTGGGCTTCGGAGAGCACAGGTTGTTTATCTTTCCTTGTGATATTTTTAGATAGGAAGGTCTATATGACTTACAAACTGTGAACAGACCATTTGTACCTTCATGAGCAGGGTCCTGATGGTGGTATATCAGCATCTAAATATTGCTACATGGGTGGATTTGACGCGACAAGGTGATTCCGTGTGTTTCTCACTCTGTTTCCATGAAATAGTGGCATTATCTGTTTGTCTTATTAAATGCGATGTGGATTTCTAAATTCGTTGTATGTTTATTATTATAAAATTTAGAGATTCATGAGCTAGTTAAAAATTTGAAAAACTCTTGAGTCCACTAACTTCTTTCTTTTTGAAAAGCAAGTTCCTTTAGATTCAATTTCTTTCAACACGTAAAAGAACATCCTGTAGTCTTCTTCCCAAAACAAAGCAGGACATATTAGAAAGGATCACTGCAATTGTGAATCACATGTTGTTTGATTCTTATTCAACAGCAAGATTGCACAAGTGAAAAAAGAGTAGGGTCTTGATATTAACGGCGTATGCAGGATTTTTCATAAGCGGTGTCTACATTTGAAGAATTAAACAAATGAATAAATCACTATAACATCATATTTAAAAAAAAAAAAACAAGAAAGAAAAAAATATTATGAAAACTTACCTTTGGGAAGGGCAGGCAGAAAGCAGCAAGCGGCTAGTTTAACGATTAATATTTTCAAAGTTAGGGTTTTAAGTTCGGTTGATTAATGTCGAACTGCTACATTATTTCTTGTCAGTAGTGATAACGAAATAGATTGCAACTCAGTTGGTTTAGTTACTCCTTTTAGGTTAGAAGTCGGCAGTTCAATCCCTGGTGCCGTGTGTCACAGGGGTGTTTTATGTCACACAAAAACAGCCTGCGCGGCAGCCAAGTCTCACACTTGATTTCAGCCTACTCCAACACTTAGCCAAAATTACAGTAACTTTGGACTTAGAATATTTTAGGCAGCTTTTCAACGTAGTAAGTTTAGACTGATTTTAGGGAATGAAATATGATAAGGCAACAGAAAATAAAGATGAACACAAGGCACAATATACAGGAAATTTGTTTCCCAACTTTGTATTTAACTCGAGCATACAAAGAAACTCAACTCAAAGTACAGTCGTGTACAAAAGAAGATCACTCTTGACCCTCACAAGACTACTCTTAGCCTTAGACGTTTTCACTCTTGAAAACCAGACTCACAAGACTACTCTTAGCCTTAGACGTTTTCACTCTTGAAAACCAGACTCACAAGACTACTCTTAGCCTTAGACGTTTTCACTCTTGAAAACCAGACTCACAAGACTACTCTTAGCCTTAGACGTTTTCACTCTTGAAAACCAGACTTAGGACTCTTTCCTAACTCAATGTGTACTCTTACACGTTTTTCTCCTCTTTCAAAAGCATAAGGATGCTGCCCATTTATAACAATACGAGACAGCCCTCTTTGCCCTTACACTTGTCGCACTTAGGCTTAGACACTTGTCCCACTCAGCCCACTATTTTAGCCTAATGTAGTTGACAACCCCCAACTACTAGGATCATGTAAATCATGGCTAATAATAATGGGATCATGGCCCCAAAAAACGTGCTAACACTCCTGCCAGCATTTTAGCAAAGTGCAACTGCTGCCCATGTGCACAGCATGTGCCGTAACCGCTCTTGACTTGGTCAATCTGAAGCTTGCTGCCCATTTTCGTGCCTTGGCTTGAATCAGGCGCCAATGCCATTTTATCCAGCTGCATTGTAGCTACATTTTGCCTATGCCATTGCCCACGAACATGGTCCTTTGCCGCGCCCCAATGCCATGACAAGTCTGTCCCGCGCACTGCCTTCCGTTGCACTTTAGCCATCCTTTGCCACTTCGTTTTTGCCTTGCCTTGGCATCACTGCCTCATGACAACACTCTCGTTGTCAAGTCAAGCTCAAAGTGGCGGAGGTCTAACAGCGTGTATGTTTAACCATAGCAAGGCTCAAATATTTTGAAACAAATGCTAACATAGTGAGATTCAATCCCTTGACCTCTCTGAGAAAATTATGGCACTTCACCAGCCTTCAACATTTGTTGACAAGTGGTGTCATTTTCTAATATTTATAGCAATATTTTGTTTTGCATATTACTTATATATGCAACATATTTTGCTCCTGCTTGATATGCGTGTTTTAGCATCAACAAAGATTATTAAATTGCACATTTGCATGTCGGTGCGCACGTCAGATAAACTTTTAACATTATTGCTTTTGCTTTTTCCGGTGATAGAACTAGAAAATCAATTGTTCAAGGACGAATTTGATCCTTAACTTGGATGCATTTCACTTTATAAACAACTGTGGTGCATGTCTGCATTTGAAAATTTCTTTTTTTTTTTCTGGTTATGTTTGTCAATTGTCATTTTATTGATACGGAAATACAGCTGCTTCATTTCCTTCTGATCTATTTCTTTTAATCATAACAATTCAGGAGGATCACTGTCTTTTTGTGTTTTGACAGCAATGTGGCAGCTGGAAAGCTGTTTGGAATCCCACTCCGTGGCACCCATTCCCATGCCTTTGTTAGCTCATTTCTGGTAGGTGCAACCTTCAGAACAACTTTGCCTACCCTTGAACTAAGTGAGACCTGTACTGTCAAAGTGCTCTGACAGTTTGTCTGGCCTCTATTCAAGATGATAATTACTTAAAAACCTGGTCTTTAGTCAGAGCATAGCAAGAAACATGTCTTAGGCTAGTGAAGTGCTCCGTTCAATCTCCATTTTAGTCCTTTCAGCAAATGTTAGTTAGTCTTCAGTTACCAATCTATATTATTACCGTTTGTCTATTACAGTTGTTTTGAAGGTATAGCTGCCACATCTATTTGCTTTCTGGCCAATTTCGATGAGGACCTAATCATTTCATCTGTTACACATATCTGATGACAATATTGTGAATTAGATACTGTAAAGATGATTTTGGTTGTTAAACAAATTACTTAAACTCTCTAATAGAATCGTTCGCTGTTGGAGTGGAATGCAAGTGTTCTTTTTTCTTCTTATGGCCCCATATGTATTGATAGAGTACATAAATGCTTGTATACTCAATTGGTAGTGACAGTTGTAGTTTCTTTTCTTCTTCGATGTCATCGAGTGGCATCAGTTGACTATATTAGTCGATGCATAATTACACATAGCTCGAGGGGACTGAACTAAGTTTGCACATTTGAGGAATAGTCTCGTCTTTGATTGCTTTTTGGTGCACCCATGAGGTCCGTACTTGTGTAGATGATTGGGTGTCTATTGTAGAGAATCGTGTTTTGAGGTAGATTCTCTACCTTTTCATATATCTCTTGTACACAGGAGTTCTCCCATTATTAGTAATATCATTTGCTTTACAAAAATTAATAATTACTCATAGCTCGATTACGAGCTCATACTCAGTTATGTGCATTGAACTGCCGCTTAGAGCTAATTATTGGTATGCATACGATCAAATGATTTTTCATCCTGTCTTATAAAAAAAACACAAAAATAATAATTTTTCTTCCAGCCTTCAGCCAGAACCCTCTTAGTAGATGAGTGAGCTGTAATTTGTAAGCTCATCAAGTCATGTTTTCTTCGTGGATGCTAATTTCAAGTTTTGTTCCTATAAATTGTTTTGTTGTGTTGCTTCTTTATGCCTAGAACTTATTTTGCTCTGGATTGTGCACTCAACATCTTCTACTTGCTTGAAGTCATCTGTTATCTAACTTAATCCTTATAATGCAGAGCCCGGATGAGATCATAGAGAAATCACTTCAACATCGTGATGGTTCTAGTGTTTGTGAAGATTTCGTTAGTCTGGTGCAGACATGGCTTAATAAATTAAAGGTATTGCCTAACTTAAATTCAGCTGTTTATCTCATTCTTTTGATGTACCAGTTGGATCATCAAAATTTAATAGAAGTTTTCCTTTTGGTCTTTTTTTAATTCGATCAGTAAAAGTTCTCCATTTGGTCTATCTTGGATTTTGACCATTTCATGTATTTCTTTATGATAAATCAAATTGGTTCTCTATTTTGTTGTTACGTCTTTCATTCATCAAAAAAATTGTTATTACCTCGTTCATTTCAAAGTATCATTTAGCTTTGGCTTCAATTTTCACCCTTCCATCACTATCAACGCTCCTAATCTTCCCTACAACACTTGCTCAAAATTCAAACCATCAAGAGGGATGGAGTTTGATCCAATTCAATTGATGTCAGACTGTTAATACTTGTCAGTCTTCAACAAAGTAGGCCTAATGTAGAAAACCTGATGGACTCTATGTTCCCTATGTACCATTTAATTGCCAAAAGGTAGTAAGACTTCTATATTCTTACGTCTAATTCTGCTTAACCCCTAGAGATAGCTGAATTCATAGCCAGTTTCGTGAATATGTGCCTAAAGCGTGCTCCCTAGGGTTTGATTCCACTGAGACAAACTGTGTCCTTTCAGGTGATATGTGTGCTCAGAGTTATAATGCCCCATGACCATCCCTTCCACCCCAAAACGAATAGATAATGCTACTTAGAGGTTGCATGCCATTACACAATAAAATCTATATGTTTTTTATGGTTGATTATGGTGAAATAATTTCATTAATTGTGAGTTTTCTCTTAGTACTCTGACAGTGATGCTGGAAAATATAACTACCATGAATCTCATGTAGGCCTTCCTTAATTCTTGTACAGATTTCAAAAATCTACATCATTAGAGTATTTCTGTTTTTTTTATAAAACAACTGGTTCTCTATCAGTACAGGGCATTACTCTGGAATCTGCTTCTCTTCCATTTTGAGCATGGATATCATTGATGTGATGACTCTTTGATCTTTTCAGTGGTCACACTTATTAGGTGGAATTTTCAGTGAGACAAACCAAAGTGAGTTAGCAGCTTTCACCTCATATGCACTCGCATTTCCTGGAAGCTTTTTGGCACTTGTAGACACTTATGATGTAAGTACAACTTGTCGGCTTATGCAGTTCCTTGGCTGTTCCTCTGATTCTGAGATATTTTGCGTTGCCATCTAGAACTATGCACGTGTAGCTGGTAGAGCAAAAAACCATAGTCAACAATTGCATTAATTTCAGTTAGTATCATAGACAGCAAAATCTATCCTGAAATACACTACCTTTCTCATGATATTAAAGTATCTGGCTATGTTTTTGTTATTTGATTACAATGTTCTTCGACCGTGAGCGAACTTTTTGGTTGGTCTTGATCTTTGATGACGTTTGCATGTACTTTAACAGGTAATGAGAAGTGGTATACCAAATTTTTGTGCAGTTGCTCTTGCACTTAATGATTTGGGGTAAGCTCTTTGCATGATTCTATTTAGATTGTAAACAGGCCTTTCTTTTCTGCATGTCTCTGCTTCTTGTATGATGCTTAATTTGTTGGATGGTGTAGAGTCATAATATTCTCATGGATTATAAAAGGATATGCCAACCAGAATTTCTAATTTTGTTATTTTGTTATCTTATATATTTAAGCTTGTGCTATTATACTAATGAACGTGAAAGAATAACTAGCCTAGAAAGAAAAGAAAACACTGGATTTTGAAATAGAAAATGTGAAA